TCCCAGAGCTTTCGTGGTCCAGGAGCTTGCCTAGTCCGGAAGCTTGCCTGGTCCAAGAGCTTGCCTGGTCCTCGAGCCTGCCTGGTCCAAGAGCTTGCGTGGTCCAGGAGCTTTCGTGGTCTAGAAGCTTGCGTGGTCCAGGAGCTTGCCTGGTCCAAGAGCTTGCCTGGTCCAAGAGCTTGCGTGGTCTAGAAGCTTGCCTGGTCTACGAGCTTGCCTGGTCTAGGAGCTTGCCTGGTCCAGGAGCTTGCTGGGTCCAGGAGCGTGCTTGGTCCACGAGTTTGCCTGGTCTAGAAGCTTGCCTGGTCCAAGAGCTTGCCTGGTCTAGGAGCTTTCATGGTCCAGGAGCGTGCCTAGTCCAGGAGCTAGCGTGGTCCAGGAGCTATCCTGGTCCAGGAGCTTGCGTGGTCCAGGAGCTTGCCTGGTCCAGGTTTGTGCCTGGTCCACGAGTTTGCTTGGTCCAGAAGCTTGCCTGGTCCAAGAGCTTGCCTGGTCTAAGAGCTTGCATGGTCCTGGAGCGTGCGTGGTCCAAGAGCTTGCCTGGTCCAAGAGCTATCCTGGTCCAGGAGCTTGCCTGGTCCAGGAGCTTGCCTGGTCCAAGAGCTTGCCTGTTCGAGGAGCGTGCCTGGTCCAAGAGCTTGCCTGGTCCAAGAGCGTGTATGGTCCACGAGCGTGCCTGGTCCATGAACTTGCGTGGTCAGGAGCTTGCCTAGTCAAGGAGCTTGCCTGGTCCAAGAGCTTGCCTGGTCCAGGAGCTTGCCTGGTCCACGAGCTTGCCTGGTTCAAGAGCTTGCCTGGTCTAGGAGCTTGCCTGGTCCAGGAGCTTGCCTTGTCCAGGTTCGTGCCTGGTCCACGAGTTTGCTTGGTCCAGAAGCTTTCCTGGTCTAGGAGCTTGCCTGGTCTAAGAGCTTGCATGGTTCCGGAGCGTGCGTGGTCCAAGAGCTTGCTTGGTCCTGGAGCTATCCTGGTCCAGGAGCTCGCCTGGTCCAGGAGATTGCCTGGTCCAAGAGCTTGCCTGTTCCAGGAGCGTGCCTGGTCCAAGAGCTTGCCTGGTCCAAGAGCGTGCATGGTCCACGAGCGTGCCTAGTCCAGGAGCTTGCTTGGTCTAGGAGCTTGCCTGGTCAAGGAGCTTGCCTGGTCCAGGAGCTTGCCTGGTCCAGGAGCTTGCCTTGTCCACGAGCCTGCCTGGTCCAAGAGCTTGCCTCGTCCGGGAGCGTGCACGGTCCACGAGCGTGCCTGGTCCAGGAGTTTGCCTGGTCCAGGAGCTTGCGTGGTACAATAGCTTGCTTGGTCCAGAAGCCTGCCTAGTCCAAGAGCTTGCCTGGTCCAAGAGCGTGCCAGGTCCAAGAGCTTGCGTGATCCAGGAGCTTGCGTGGTCGAGGAGCTTGCCTAGTCCAGGAGCTTCCCTGGTCCAGGAGCTTGCCTGGTCCAAGAGCTTGCCTGGTCCAAGAGCTTGCGTTGTCCAGGAGCTTGCCTGGTCCAGGAGCTTGCTTGGTCTAGGAGCTTGCCTGGTCCAGGAGCTTGCCTGGTCCAGGAGCTTGCCTGGTCAAAGAGCTTGCCTGGTCCAGGAGTTTGCTTGGTCCAGAAGCTTGCCTCGTCCAGGAGCTTGCCTGGTCTAGGAGATTGCATGGTCCAGGAGCGTGCCTGGTCCAGGAGCTTGCCTGGTCCACGAGCTATCCTGGTCCAGGAGCTTGCCTGGTCCAGGAGCTTGCCTGTTCCACGAGCATTCCTGGTCCAGGAGCTTGCCTTGTCTAGGAGCTTTCTTGGTCCGTTAGCTTGCCTTGTCCAGGAGCTTGCCTGGTCCAGGAGCTTGCCTGGTCCAGGAGCTTGCCTTGTCCAGGAGCTTGCCTTGATCCAGAAGCCTGCCTGGTCCAAGAGCTTGCCTGGTCCACGAGCGTGCCTGGTCCAAAAGCTTGGGTGGTCTAGGAGCTCGCGTGGTCCAGGAGCCTGCCTGGTCCAAGAGCTTGCCTGGTCCAGGAGCTTTGCCTGGTCCAAGAGCTTGCCTGGTCCAAGAGCTTGCGTGGTCCAGGAGCTTGCCTGGTCCAGGAGCTTGCCTGGTCTAGGAGCTTGCCTGGTCCAGGAGCTTGCCTGGTCCAGGAGCGTGCCTGATCCACGAGTTTGCCTGGTCCAGAAGCTTGCCTGGTCCAGGAGCTTGCCTGGTCTAGGAGCTTGCATGGTCCAGGAGCTTGCCTGGTCCAGAAGCTTGCCTGGTCCAGGAGCTTGCATGGTCCAAGAGCTTGCCTGTTCCACGAGCGTGCCTGGTCCACGAGCTTGCCTTGTCCAGGAGCTTTCTTGGTCCGTTAGCTTGCCTTGTCCACGAGCGTGCCTGATGCACGAGCTTGCCTGGTCCGAGAGCGTGCCTGGACCAGGAGTGTGCCTGGTCAACGAGCAAGCCTGGTCCAGGAGCTTGCCAGGTCCCGGAGCTTTCGTGGTCCAGGAGCTTGCCTGGTCCGGAAACTTGCCTGGTCCAGGAGCTTGCCTGGTCCTCGAGCCTGCCTGGTCCAAGAGCTTGCGTGGTCCAGGAGCTTTCGTGGTCCAGAAGCTTGCCTGGTCCAGGAGCTTGCCTGGTCCAAGAGCTTGCCTGGTCCAACAGCTTGCGTGGTCTAGAAGCTTGCCTGGTCCACGAGCTTGCCTGGTCTAGGAGCTTGCCTGGTCCAGGAGCTTGCTTGGTCCAGGAGCGTGCTTGGTCCACGAGTTTGCCTGGTCTAGAAGCTTGCCTGGTCCAAGAGCTTGCCTGGTCTAGGAGCTTGCATGGTCTAGGAGCGTGCCTAGTCCAGGAGCTAGCCTGGTCGAGGAGCTATCGTGGTCCAGGAGCTTGCCTGGTCCAGGAGCTTGCCTGGTCTAGGAGCTTGCCTGTTCCACGAGCATGCCTGGTCCAAGAGCTTGCCTTGTCCAGGAGCTTTCTTGGTCCGTTTGCTTGCCGGGTCCAGGAGCTTGCCTGGTCCAGGAGCTTTCTTGGTCCAAGAGCTTGCCTGGTCCAGGAGCTTGCCTGGTCCAGGAGCTTGCCTGGTCCACGAGCCTGCTTGGTCCGAGAGCTTGCCTGGTCTTTGAGCTTGTCTGGTCTTTGAGCTTGCCTGGTCCAGGAGCTTTCCTGGTCTAGGACCTTGCGTGGTCCAAGAGCTTGCTTGGTCCAGAAGCCTGCCTCGTCCACGAACTTGCCTCCTCCAGGAGCGTGCCTTGTCAAAAAGCTTGCGTAGTCCAGGAGCTTGCCTCGTCCAAGAGCTTGCCTGGTTCAAGAGCTTGCGTGGTCCAGGAGCTTGCCTGGTCCAGGAGCTTGCCTGGTCTAGGAGCTTGCCTGGTCCAAGAGCTTCCTTGGTCCAGAAGCATGTCTGGTCCACGAGTTTGCCTGGTCCAGAAGCTTGCCTAGTCCAGGAGCTTGCCTGGTCTAGGAGCTTGCATGGTCCAGGAGCGTGCCTGGTCCAGGAGCTTGCCTAGTCCAGGAGCTATCCTGGTCCAGGAGCTTGCTTGGTCAAGGAGCTTGCCTGTTCCAGGAGCTTGCCTGTTCCAGGAGCTTGCCTGGTCCAGGAGCTATCCTGGTCTAGGAGCTTGCCTGGTCTAGGAGCTTGCGTGGTCCAAGAGCTTGCCTTGTCCAGGAGCTTTCTTGGTCCGTGAGCTTGCCTGGTCCAGGAGCTTGCCTTGTCCAGGAGCTTGCCTGGTCCAAGAGCTTGCCTGGTCCAAGAGCTTGCGTGGTCCAGGAGCTTGCCTGGTCTAGGAGCTTGCCTGTTCCAGGAGCTTGCATAGTCCAGGAGCTATCCTGGTCTAGGAGCTTGCCTGGTCCAGGAGCTTGCCTGGTCCAGGAGCTTGCGTGGTCCAAGAGCTTGCCTGGTCCAGGAGCTTGCCTGGTCCAGGAGCGTGCCTGGTCCACGACTTTGCCTGGTCCAGAAGCTTGCCTGGTTTGGGAGCTTGCCTGGTCTAGGAGCTTGCATGGTCCAGGAGCGTGCCTGGTCTAGGAGCTTGCCTGGTCCAGGAGCTATCCTGTTCCAAGAGCTTGCCAGGTCCAAGAGCTTGCCTGGTCCAGGAGCTTGCCTGTTCGAGGAGCGTGCCTGGTCCAAGAGCTTGCCTGGTCCAAGAGCGAGCATGGTCCACGAGCGTGCCTGGTCGAGGAACTTGCCTGGTCAAGGAGCTTGCCTGGTCAAGGAACTTGCCTGGTCCTGGAACTTGCCTGGTCCAAGAGCTTGCCTGGTTCATGAGCTTGCCTGGTCTAGGAGCTTGCCTGGTCCAGGAGCTTGCCTGGTCCAGAAGCGTGCCTGGTCCATGAGTTTGCCTGGTCCAGAAGCTTGCGTGGTCCAGGAGCTTGCCTGGTCTAGGAGCTTGCATGGTCCAGGAGCGTGCCTGGTCCAGGAGCTTGCCTGGTCCGGGAGCTATCCTGGTCCAGGAGCTTGCCTAGTCCAGGAGCTTGCCTGGTCCAAGAGCTTGCTTGTTCCAGGAGCGTGCCTGGTCCAAGAGCTTTCCTGGTCCAAGAGCGTGCATGGTCCACAAGCGTGCATGGTCCAGGAGCTTGCCTGGTCCAGGAGCTTGCCCGGTCAAGGAGCTTGCCTGGTCCAGGAGCTTGCCTGGTCCAGGAGCTTGCCTGGTCCAGGAGCTATCCTGGTTCAGGAGCTTGCCTAGTCAAGGAGCTTGCCTAGTCAAGGAGCTTGCCTGGTCCAGGAGCTTGCGTGGTCCACGAGCCTGCCTGGTCCAAGAGCTTGCCTGGTCCAGGAGCGTGCATGGTCCACGAACGTGCCTGGTCCAGGAGCTTGCCTGGTCCAGGAGCTTGCATGGTCCAATCTCTTGCTTGGTCCAAAAGCCTGCCTGGTCAAGGAGCTTGCCAGGTCCAGGAGCTTGCCTGGTCCAAGAGCTTGCCTGGTCCAAGAGCTTGCGTGGTTCAGGAGCTTGCCTTGTCCAGGAGCTTGCCTGGTCTAGGAGCTTGCCTGGTCGAGGAGCTTGCCTGGTCTAGGAGCGTGCGTGGTCCACGAGTTTGCCTGGTCCAGAAGTTTGCCTCGTCCAGGAGCTTGCCTGGTCTAGGAGCTTGCATGGTCCAGGAGTGTGCCTGGTCCAGGAGCTTGCCTAGTCCAGGAGCTATCCTGGTCAAGGAGCTTGCCTGGTCCACGAGCGTCCACGTCCATGTCCAAGTCCACGTCCTTGTCTACGTCCACGTCCACGTCCATGTCCACGTCCACGTCCACGTCCACGTCCATGTCCACGTCCACGTCCACGTCCACGTCCATGTCCACGTCCACGTCCATGTCCACGTCCACGTCCACGTCCATGTCTACGTCCACGTCCACGTCCACGTCCACGTCTACGTCCACGTCCACGTCCACGTCTAAGTCCATGTCCACGTCCACATCCACGTCCACGTCCACATCCACGACCATGTCTTCGTCCACGTCCACGTCCACGTCCATGTCCACGTCCAAGTTCTCCACGTCCACGTCCACGTCCACGTCGACGTCCATGTACATGTCCACGTCCATGTCCACGTCCACGTCGACGTCCACGTACATGTCCACGTCCATGTCCACGTCCATGTCGACGTCCATGTCCATGTCCACGTCCACGTCCACGTCCACGTCCACGTCCGCGTCCGCGTCCACGTCCGCGTCCGCGTCCGCGTCCGCGTCCACGTCCGCGTCCGCGTCCGCGTTCGTCCACGTCCACGTCCGCGTCCGTCCACGTCCGCGTCAGCGTCCACGTCTGCGTCCACGTCCACGTCCGCGTCCACGTCCACGTCCGCGTCCGCGTCCGTCCACGTCCACGTCCGCGTCCGTCCACGTCCGCGTCCGCGTCCACGTCCGCGTCCACGTCCACGTCCGCGTCCACGTCCACGTCCACGTCCACGTCCGCGTCCACGTCCGCGTCCGCGTCCGCGTCCACGTCCGCGTCCGCGTCCACGTCCGCGTCCGTCCACGTCCACGTCCGCGTCCGCGTCCACGTCCACGTCCGCGTCCACGTCCGCGTCCGTCCGCGTCCACGTCCACGTCCGCGTCCACGTCCACGTCCGCGTCCACGTCCGCGTCCGCGTCCACGTCCGCGTCCACGTCCACGTCCACGTCCACGTCCGTCCACGTCCGCGTCCACGTCCACGTCCGCGTCACGTCCGCGTCCGCGTCCGCGTCCACGTCCGCGTCACGTCGTCCGTGTCCACGTCCACGTCCGCGTCCACGTCCACGTCCACGTCCACGTCCGCGTCCGCGTCCACGTCCACGTCCGCGTCCACGTCACGTCCGCGTCCACGTCCGCGTCCACGTCCACGTCCACGTCCACGTCCACGTCCGCGTCCACCTCGACGTCCACTCCACGTCCACGTCCACTCCACGTCCACGTCCACGTCCACGTCCACGTCCACGTCTACCTCGACGTCCACGTCCACGTCCACGTCCACGTCTACCTCGACGTCCACGTCCACGTCCAGGTCCACGTCCACGTCCACGTCCACGTCCAAGTTCCCATACTGACCGACCTGGCCAATGCACCATTTTCCATATACATATGCTTTAGATTTCTTTCAAACCTTATTAGCTCACTAGATTTATATATTTCCCACCTTGTGATCGAGTGAGACCGCTAGATTCCCTCTACTTTTTGAGAAATGAGCGTTTCCGTTCTCCTTGGCCCTAGTTGCACTATAAGTGCGAAATGCCGGCCAGACTGGCCGATGCACAATTTTCTCTACACATGTATGTTAGTTACCTTTCAAACCCTTACGTTCACTAGATGAATATATTTCCTACTTTCTATTTGAGTGAGACCACTTGATTCCGTGTACTATGCGAGATCTGAGCGCTTCCGTTCTCCCTGGCATTTGCATTTGAAGTTCCGATACTGACCGACCTGGCCAATGCACCATTTTCTCTATACATGTGCGTTGAATATATTTCAAACCTTTTTAGCTGACTAGATTTATATATTTCCCACCTTCTGATCGAGTGAGACCGTTAGATTCCCTTTACTTTTTGAGAAACGAGCGTTTCCGTTCTCCCTGACCCCACCTGCACTATGAGTGCGAAATGCCGGCCAGGCTGGCCGATGCACCATTTTCTCTACACATGTGCGTTACTTACCTTTCAAACCCTAACGTTCACTAGATGAATATATTTCCTACCTTATATTTGAGTGAGACCACTAGATTCCGTGTATTATGCGAGATATGAGCGGTTCCGTTCTCTGAGGCATTTGCACTCTAAGTTCCCATACTGACCGACCTGGCCAATGCACCACTTTTCATATACATATGCATTAGATTCCTTCCGAACCTTATTAGCTCACTATATTTATAAGGGCCTAAACCCTGAGAGCGCACAGTGGGATCAGCATCAGCAGCAGGGGCAGGAGAGGCGCCAGAAGTGAGGTCATTGAGAGAGAGGCCGTCTGCCCTATCGCACTGTAAAAACAACTGCAGGTCGTCGACCCAGACCTCAAAGTCAATGGCGCGACCCTCAGCGTCAAAAGCTAGGACACTAGGGGTAGCTATGACGACGACAGCGAAGCAGTGCAAGCAGTAGGGGAAGAGCACGCAGTGACAGTGGGACTGTGCTCACCGGGCAGGGCAGCGCTGCAGAAATGAGCGTTTCCGTTCTCCTTGGCCCTACTTGCACTATAAGTGCGAAATGCCAGCCAGACTGGCCGATGCACCATTTTCTCTACACATGTGCGTTAGTTACCGTTCAAACTCTTACGTTCACTAGATGAATTTATTTCCTACCTTCTATTTGAGTGAGACCACAAGATTCCGTGTACTATGCGAGATCCGAGCGCTTCCGTTCTCCCTGGCATTTGCATTTTAAGTTCCGATACTGACCGACCTGGCCAATGCACCATTTTCTCTATACATGTGCGTTGAATACATTTCAAACCTTTTTAGCTGACTAGATTTATATATTTCCCACCTTCTGATCGAGTGAGACCGTTAGATTCCCTCTACTTTTTGAGAAATGAGCGTTTCCGTTCTCCCTGGCCACACCTGCACTATGAGTGCGAAATGCCGGCCAGACTGGCCGATGCACCATTTTCTCTACACATGTGCGTTAGTTACCTTTCAAACACTTACGTTCACTAGATGAATATATTTCCTACCTTATATTTGAGTGAGACCACTAGATTCCGTGTATTATGCGAGATCTGAGCGGTTCCGTTCTCCCAGGCATTTGCACTCTAAGTTCCCATAATGACCGACCTGGCCAATGCACCACGTTCCATATACATATGCATTAGATTCCTTCCGAACCTTATTAGCTCACTAGATTTATATATTTTCCACCTTCTGATTGAGTGAGACCGCTAGATTCCCTGTACTTTTTGAGAAATGAGGGTTTCCGTTCTCCTTGGCCCTACTTGCACTATAAGTGCGAAATGCCGGCCAGACTGGCCGATGCACCATTTTCTCTACACATGTGCGTTAGTTACCTTTCACACCCTTATGTTCACTAGATGAATATATTTCCTACTTTCTATTTGAGTGAGACCACTTGATTCCGTGTACTATGCGAGATCTGAGCGCTTCCGTTCTCCCTGGCATTTGCATTTTAAGTTCCGATACTGACCGACCTGGCCAATGCACCATTTTCTCTATACATGTGCGTTGAATACATTTCAAACCTTTTTAGCTGACTAGATTTATATATTTCCCACCTTCTGATCGAGTGAGACCGTTAGATTCCCTCTACTTTTTGAGAAACGAGCGTTTCCGTTCTCCCTGGCCCCACCTGCACTATGAGTGCGAAATGCCGGCCAGACTGGCCGATGCACCATTTTCTCTACACATGTGCGTTAGTTACCTTTCAAACCCTTACGTTCACTAGATGAATTTATTTCCTACCTTATATTTGAGTGAGACCACTAGATTCCGTGTATTATGCGAGATCTGAGCGGTTCTGTTCTCCCAGGCATTTGCACTCTCAGTTCCCATACTGACCGACGTGGCCAATGCACCACTTTCCATATACATATGCATTAGATTCCTTCCAAACCTAATTAGCTCACTAGATTTATATATTTCCCACCTTCTGATCGAGTGAGACCGCTAGATTCCCTCTACGTTGTGAGAAATGAGCGTTTCCGTTCTCCTTGGCCCTACTTGCACTATAAGTGCGAAATGCCGGCCAGACTGGCCGATGCACCATTTTCTCTACACATGTGCGTTAGTTACCTTTCAAACCCTTACGTTCACTAGATGAATATATTTCCTACTTTCTATTTGAGTGAGACCACTTGATTCCGTGTACTATGCGAGATCTGAGCGCTTCTGTTCTCCCTGGCATTTGCATTTTAAGTTCCGATACTGACTGACCTGGCCAATGCACCATTTTCTCTATACATGTGCGTTGAATACATTTCAAACCTTTTTAGCTGACTAGACTTATATATTTCCCACCTTCTGATCGAGTGAGACCGTTAGATTCCCTCTACTTTTTGAGAAACGAGCGTTTCCGTTCTCCCTGGCCCCACCTGCACTTTGAGTGCGAAATGCCGGCCAGACTCGCCGATGCACCATTTTCTCTACACATGTGCGTTACTTACCTTTAAAACCCTTACGTTCACTAGATGAATATATTTCCTACCTTATATTTGAGTGAGACCACTAGATTCCGTGTATTATGCGAAATCTGAGCGGTTCTGTTCTCCGAGGCATTTGCACTCTAAGTTCCCATACTGACCGACCTGGCCAATGCACCAATTTCCATATACATATGCATTAGATTCCTTCCGAACCTTATGATCTCACTAGATTTATATATTTCCCACCTTCTGATCGAGTGAGACCGCTAGATTCCCTTTACTTTTTGAGAAATGAGCGTTTCCGTTCTCCTTGGCCCTACTTGCACTATAAGTGCGAAATGCCGGCCAGACTGGCCGATGCACCATTTTCTCTACACATGTGCGTTAGTTACCTTTCAAACCCTTACGTTCACTAGATGAATTTATTTCCTACCTTCTATTTGAGTGAGACCACTAGATTCCGTGTACTATGCGAGATCTGAGCGCTTCCGTTCTCCCTGGCATTTGCACTCTAAGTTCCCATACTGACCGACCTGGCCAATGCACCATTTTCCATATACATATGCATTAGATTCCTTTCGAACCTTATTAGTTCACTAGATTTATATATTTTCCACCTTCTGATCGAGTGAGACCGCTAGATTCCCTTTCCTTTTTGAGAAATGAGCGTCTCCGTTCTCATTGGCCCTACTTGCACTATAAGTGCGAAATGCCGGCCAGACTGGCCGATGCACCATTTTCTCTACACATGTGCGTTAGTTACCTTTCAAACCCTTACGTACACTAGATGAATTTATTTCCTACCTTCTATTTGAGTGAGACCACTAGATTCCGGGTACTATGCGAGATCTGAGCGGTTCCATTCTCCCTGGCATTTGCACTCTAAGTTCCCATACTGACCGACCTGGCCAATGCACCATTTTCCATATACATATGCATTAGATTCCTTCAGAACCTTATTAGCTCACTAGGTTTATATATTTCCCACCTTCTGATCGAGTGAGACCGCTAGATTCTCTTTACTTTTTGAGAAATGAGCGTTTCCGTTCTCCTTGGCCCTACTTGCACTATAAGTGCGAAATGCCGGCCAGACTGGCCGATGCACCATTTTCTCTACACATGTGCGTTGGTTACCTTTCAAACCCTTACGTTTACTAAATGAATTTATTTTCTACCTTCTATTTGAGTGAGACCACTAGATTCCGTGTACTATGCGAGATCTGAGCGCTTCCGTTCTCCCTGGCATTTGCACTCTAAGTTCCCATACTGACCGACCTGGCCAATGCACCATTTTCGATATACATATGCATTAGATTACTTTCGAACCTTATTAGCTCACTAGATTTATATATTTCCCACCTTCTGATCGAGTGAAACCGCTAGATTCCCTTTACTTTTTGAGAAATGAGTGTTTCCGTTCTCCTTGCCCCTACTTGCACTATAAGTGCGAAATGCCGGCCAGACTGGCCGATGCACCATTTTCTCTACACATGTGCGTTAGTTACCTTTCAAACCCTTACGTTCACTAGATGAATTTATTTCCTACCTTCTATTTGAGTGAGACCACTAGATTCCGTGTACTATGCGAGATCTGAGCGCTTCCGTTCTCCCTGGCATTTGCACTCTAAGTTCCCATACTGACCGACCTGGCCAATGCACCATTTTCCATATACATATGCATTAGATTCCTTTCGAACCTTATTAGCTCACTAGATTTATATATTTTCCACCTTCTGATCGAGTGAGACCGCTAGATTCCCTTTCCTTTTTGAGAAATGAGCGTTTCCGTTCTCCTTGGCCCTACTTGCACTATAAGTGCGAAATGCCGGCCAGACTGGCCGATGCACCATTTTCTCTACACATGTGCGTTACTTACCTTTCAAACCCTTACGTTCACTAGATGAATTTATTTCCTACCTTCTATTTGAGTGAGACCACTAGATTCTGTGTACTATGCGAGATCTGAGCGCTTCCATTCTCCCTGGCATTTGCACTCTAAGTTCCCACACTTACCGACCTGGCCAATGCACCATTTTCCATATACATATGCATTAGATTCCTTTCGAACCTTATTAGCTCACTAGATTTATATATTTCCCACCTTCTGATCGAGTGAAACCGCTAGATTCCCTTTACTTTTTGAGAAATGAGCGTTTCCGTTCTCCTTGCCCCTACTTGCACTATAAGTGCGAAATGCCGGCCAGACTGGCCGATGCACCATTTTCTCTACACATGTGCGTTAGTTACCTTTCAAACCCTTACGTTCACTAGATGAATTTATTTCCTACCTTCTATTTGAGTGAGACCACTAGATTCCGTGTACTATGCGAGATCTGAGCGCTTCCGTTCTCC